ATATATATGAAAGTTTGTGAAAACGTACTCTCATGCGATAAAAAATATTTATATAAATCACTGCTTGCTAGTTGTAGGGATAGACATAGGAATAGGCCTATTATAATATTGATTTTAATTTGGAAAAATACTTAGTGTACTCTCTTTATATATTCTCAATTTTTTACTTTCTCTTGCATATTCTTGATGTAGACACTTTTTTATGGACCACATGATAAAAATTAACGAATCCTCGTTTGCCACCTCAGAAAGTACAAGAAAGGGAGTAGAATTTGAAAAGTTTATATAGTAGAACTCTTTAATTCGCTACTATTAAAAATTATAGTGATGTGATGTGACCCAAAGAATGCTAGGGGTTCTTTTTGATGAGTTGATTGGTATAGGAGTAAATGATACAACTCCAAAAAATTGTGATTGAGCCTCAATAAACAAACTAGTTTTCATTAAACGACAAACCATATATAAATGAATGAATTCATTAATAGTGATGGACCAACCTAATTAATATTGTACGTACAACCTTGGAAATTCAAGCTAATAACTTGATTGCATTAATTAATATACCGAGCTAGCTACCTAGTATTGTATATGATGACTATGAATGATGATGACCAATCTTGGAATCCAATTCTTAGTGCATCCACAATGGTTTGGGAGAATTGAGGGATAATGTAAGAGTGATTAGGAGAGAGAATGTGGGAAGGGGAGGAAAAAAAAAAACAAAAAAATCAAAATCAAAAATTAAAAAACAAAAAAAACAAAAAAAAAAAAAAAAAAAAAAAGAGTCAGGCGCGCCGTTCGGCGCGCCTGACGCGCCCGTGTGGGCAGGCTACTGTGCGCGAAACGCGCACAGCAGCCTCCTTTTTCTTCTCTTTCTTTTTCTTCTTTTTCTGCATTCTCCTTGAATTTGCAGGAGAAATATCTCCACCAATAACTCCACCCCACACTTGTTATTATCCCCACCCGAGATAATTCATCTGACATTATCTCCATAATATCCACTGATGTGGATGCTCTTACCCCCTTATTCTTCCTACTTCACCTATTTTGTCTTTTTTATTTTTATTTTTCCTCGTCCCAACACTTTTTTATCTTATACCTTAGATGATTTAAATTCATATTACAAATAGCATATATAAGTTCGATTAAATTGAAACTTAACTAAATCTAAATTCATGATGGCAATTTTTCTTATCTCCGATTTTTGCTCAACCAAGGCCACGATACCTTTTCCAACTTGTTTGGTTCTTAATAATAATAATAATAATAATAATAATAATAATAATAATAATAATAATAATAATAATATTATTATTATTATTATTATTATTATTATTATTATTATTATTATTATTATTATTATTATTATTATTATTATTATTATTATTATTATTGTAGATTGTTTGTAATAGTACATCTATTTTGTTTGTTTTTGAATGTAAACTTGGATTTCTACATTTATTTTTTAAAGAGAATATTTATTAATTATAATCATAAATAGTGGGTAAAAGATTATAAAATGTTAAGTGGAGTATTAAGGAGTGAAAGACTACATGCATGTATGCTAACAAATTGCCTGCATGGGTAGCTCAACTGGTCATAGAGGTGAAACTTTGAAAGACTGACCAGCGATCGAGTCTCACCAGCGGCAGTGTGGGAGCAACCTCTCAAAGTGAGGGGGGCTCCTTGTGCGCAGTGAGCACCGGTCTAGCCTCTATGGTTCATGTTCAGTTGAGTCACCATGATTTACATCATCCCAAATGCTCTGTCAGACCCGGGTGTGGGGGCAAACCAAAAATAGAGATTAAGTATACGTACTAATTAAAGCACAATATATACAAACATACTGATGCTATAATCACCAAAAAGTATGTGATTACCTTTTGTCTATTAATAATATGTTAATTAAAAAGCATTCATTTCAACTCAATTTACCAAACCTTCCACCAATAATTTCTTTAGAGCATCGTGTGACCATATGTGATATGATCTATTAACTAATGATATATTAAACAAATGCACTCATGCACTCTAAAGTCGGTGGCCTAAAACAATTTTTTTAAATATCTCATGTCATAATCAATTTAACATATATAGTTAAAGACAAGGAAAGTTAGGTGCTAGTTAATCCTTCAATTTATATAGAAACTAATTAAGGCTAGGGTACCTAATTACTAATAAGAGTATACTTAGTACATGCATGGTCCACCATTCCCATCCATAATAGCCTAACATTTCTGTTGGTCCCGATAGAATGAAACGAGAGTCTAGAGGGGAGGGGCGGGGGGGGGGGGGGTGAATAGACTCTTTTCGTGAAATGCCCTTAACGTCACCTTTCGGTGTTTTTGGCGCAGCGGAAAAGTCAGATTAGTTTTAATTGCTTTGCACGAGTTTATGAGATTAGAGAAACTTTCGGTAACAGTGATGGTTAGAATGATGCAAATGCAGAAATAAAAAGCGTAAGTAAGGAAAAGAAAGAACACGAGATTTTATAGTGGTTCGGCCAAACGTTGCCTACTCCACTCTTCTTCCACAACTTATGGAAGGATTGCACTATCACTCCTTAGCACAATTACACAAAGACTTCCTTGATCACTAAGCTGGACAGCCTTCGTAGGTTTTTCAACTTCACAAGTTTACTCCGCCTCTATCAACTTCTTCTCCTGAGTTGAGGTTGGTAGAAAGTGATTTCTTGATTTCTCCAACAATGAAGTCTTGACTGAGAGATGATTGCTTAGAACAGATTGCAAGACTTCTTTTGAGGTGTAAGAAAAATGATCAAAGACCTTCTTCAAGTAACTTAACACCTCAATACTGGTTCACAGAAGCTTTTGGAAATCTGAGAGCGTTTCAAGAGCTTTTGTAAGTAAATGAGTCGAGTGATAATGAACCAGCACTTTCTTAGTTGATGAAGGTGGATTTATATAAGTGATGAAAATTCATCCGTTGGAGGGAGATGGAATTTTCGAACCTTTTAACCATTGGACAAGGACCTGGGAGCTTCATGCATTAAATGCTCCATTAATGAGGTTGTACCATGTAGCCGTTGAAGGTATGGAAAGCATTAAAGTTTTGTCCTTTAGCTCCAGGAGATGGTACATCTTCATTTAATGCTTCTTGAAAAGTGTGCCCCATAAGATGAAGTCCTTATTGTCCTAGGATGTTGTCAAATCAGACATGTAGAACATTCTTCTCGTTGTTGAAGAGAAGTAATGCTTGATAAAGATCGTATTTTAAGAACACTGTCCTTTCGTGCTTGTTGACAACTCCTGCTTGACTCTCGTTGTTGTTCTTCATGTCTCGTGTCTTCTTTCGCCTTGGAGACCCTATCATCTAGTCATAACTCATTTTCGTGTGTTTGTCTAGCTTAACACGAATTACAAAGGAGTTATGGCAACTCTCGTCTAGGACGAAAGCAGCGATTGAAAAAGCTAAAAGATAGGGGTCTACTTTTTTACATTACATTGGTATCATCAAAATTCTAATACAAAGTTCCTAACAATTTCCCAACAAGAACGAATGGATGATTAGGTATTCTCATGATCATATCACAATTCATATCTAGAGATTTCAATTCATATATATATATATATATATATATATATATATATATATATATATATATATATATATATATATTAGTAAAAATTTAAATTTTTGTAGTGTGTTGAATGTTATTTTTATTTTTCTTTTGTATATATAAAAAAGGCACAATTAAATTAATTATATAGCTAACGTCTCAGAGAAGTTTAGTGGTATGTAGTACGTCCTTATTTTAAATAGCAAGTAACAAAGGCTATAATGGATCCGTTACTAATTAAGTTTATTGATGACTATAATGAAAGAGCCAATAATAGGTCATCAATTTTAAATTGGTAATGCTTTAGTCTTTTTTAGATTATTTGAGATCAAATTTTATTAAGAATAATTTCGAATTTGATATTTAAGTTTTTTATACAATTGGGATTTAATATTTATTATTGAGTTTAGTACTCCGTATTTGTTATGATTACTATATATGTAACAAATTTAAGAGGAATACACAAATATCTAATTTTGGACTATAATAATGTACAAAAAAATATCTATAATAATATAATATGAACACTTTACAATTCAAAGCAATAAATTATTATATCCACTAATAAAAGGAATGAGTAGGTAGGGTTGTAGATTCTAAATTTATTATGTTGTGCTCTGTCGGGTCAGGACGTGGTTTATTTGGATCTGGACAAATTATTTTGTGAAATCGAATCCTTCTTGCAAGGTGAATTTCGATTCAAAATACACAATTTAATACTGAATGTACACAATTTACATACTAATTAAATATTCACAATTTATATACACAATTTACAAAGTAAATGTAAATTGCAAAATGGACCATGATCCATTGTATAACAACTATTAGAGTTGAATCGTGATAAGGACTTGGTTAAATTTCACTCGTTAGTTAATTCAAAATTTTGAATGTAAGTATCAAAATGTTTAATAATCCGTTTCTGAAACCATGATTGTAGGAGGGAGGATGGTGTAAGAGTGTCACTGACTGCCTGGATTACATTGATCAAAAAGGTGGTAGCACCAAACCCAAACCTGTAGCTTTTCGAAATCTGTTAAGCAACCAAAAAGAAAAAAATCCAGGTAAAGAGCAAATTATATGGTTAAAATTGTTTAACTTCATTTTAACTACTCTTTGTTTTGTGTTTCTAATTATTAAGAAACTTCTATTTTATGAAACTTGTAGACTTCTTTAACTGGAACAGAGTTGATCTTAGATATTACGATGGATCATCGTTTACGGGGAATTCTGAAATATTTAAAAATGTATGACCTCAACTTTACTCATTTTAAATTAGAATGACCCGTCTATGTATTATGATTACTTGATTAGTTTTGCATGCAATGTTATGTACTTAATTCATTTGCTCTGCACTTGATTACGCATATAAGCACATTAAATTTCTACTTTGGCTTACTTTGCCATTTTTCAGGGTAAGAAACTTTATTTTAGAGGAGCAAAAATTTTCAACGCTATAATTCAGGAGCTATTAGACAATGGAATGGGAAGTGCACAAAATGTAAGCATTTTTTGTTTTAGAAAACGAACAAGTGGTTAATTTGCTTAATTGTTTGCAAAATCATTATCTTTACATATATTATTTGTTAAACTAATTGTGTGCGTGAATTTGTATTATGTCATTTTGGTTTTGTGAGTGGTCATGGTCATAGTTTATAAATTAAATGATAAAGTTGTACCTAATTTTGAAAACCTAAATTATCTATAGGCTCTTTTAGTCGGTAGTTCAGCGGGTGGAGTGGCAACCGCGATTTATTGTGACAGATTTCGACGCCATTTTTCTAACACTTCTCGAGTAAAGTGTCTTTCAGATGGTGGATATTTTTTCCTATCGTAAGTTAATTATACCCTACATATCAAATTTAATTGAATGAGCTTTTAGTATGATTAATTATAAGTACTGAATTTTACATGTAAAATTTTAAACAGGAAAAAGCACCATCAAGAAAACACATTTCTGTCCATGTTTGATGGTTTGATCAAATTACATGTATTATTCCTCTTAAATATTATACTTTGTTAAAATGATCTCATATTTTCTCCATTACTTTCAATTTATGCTTTTACTGTCCTGCATATGCAAATGTTTTTGGTTAACTAGGGATCCAAAAATGCATTGCCTACGTCTTGCACTTCGAGATTAAGTCCAGAAATGGTAAGATTTAACAGCTTCAATTCATTTCATTTTTAATTACTTCAAAGAAAAATAGTTTAATAATCAATATTGAATTTTTGTTGTAGTGTTTCTTCCCGCAAAATTTGCAAGCTGACATTCAGACACCCATCTTTTTTTTAATGTCCGCGTTTGATAGAATTTAGGTTTGATTTTTTTTTTTAAATTTATTTCAACAATAACCTTTATAATTAAGAATCATGGTTGCAGTAGGCCTAGGCGGTTAACTAAAATAAAAAAACAATAAATGCACGTGTGTGGTGTATGTCATTTATATTATAATATAAAATTAAAAAATAAATTAGCTGGCCTACTTGGCCGAGTTAATTGGGTGCCTATGGGACCGCCTAGATCAATTTTTGCAACAAAATTGCACCTTTATCAATATTATTTCAAGCAAAAAAAAAAAAGGTATTTTCAAGCAAACACACCAATCTCCTTTATTTACACTTTGTTTTTTGTTACGTTCCTAATTACTATGGGCCAATTTCTTTCATTATGCTCTTATATATTTATTACAGATCGAGTATACAATGGTATCAAAAGAATTTCATGTATGTGCTATGGGGAGGAACTGTTCTTCGAATCAAATTAAAATCATGCAAGGTTTGAATCAATAAATGTTTATTATATTCTAAACATTTCATATAATTAAAAGCTATTGCTCAATTTTGACTTGTTATATTTGCATGTTATCATTTCAGATCTTAGGACTGAGCTCTTGTCTGTTTTGCCTGAACACCACAATTCAAAAAAAGGGATCTTGATTACCTCTCCGTATGCTCATACTCAAGCTTTAAGCCCTTCTTGGAATTCTCAAGCAGCCGGAACTGGAGAGGTAATGAGACAATATTTTAATTTATTTTTTTAAAACAAAAGAAATTTGTTTATCGAGTAATATATCATTACTGTCGTCATATATATATATATATATATATATATATATATATATATATATATATATATATATATATATATATATATATATATATATATGGTATAAATTAGTTTTTAAGTATGCAATTATTAAATTTAAACAATATCCTTCTTTTTTGAAAACTTTATAGTTGTCTTTCATCATTCTAATTGATATGTACCCTTCTTTTTTGTTTTTGTTCTTTTTCTTTTAACAGACTATTGAAAAGTTGTTCAGAGAATGGTATTTTGATATCAAGGCTGTTCAAGTTATTGATAAGAATCAGTGCCCATATTATCATTGCTCATCAAAATAGGTTTGAGGAAAAAAACAAGCTATGGGTTTGTAAATATTTGTTGAAGAGTACTTGAAAGCTTTAAACAATGGGTTTGTAAATATTTAATTTGTTGAAGAGTAATTGAAAAATTTAATTTAGACGGTTGTTTATCTGATTCACAATTTGTTTGCTTATTTATTAATTAAATTTAAAATTCCTAAAAGTCTATTTTCATATAAACATAGTGGGAATGAAACAATTTTACAGAGAAAAATAATGATTGATTGAATCAAGAAGGTTTTATACATATAATCAACAAAATTAATTTACACTCAAAACAATGTTTATTTTCGAATGTTTTAAATAATTGAAATAGAAACTCATTTCTAGATTTTATGCACGCATGCATCACTAATTTGTAAAATTAACATTGAAAAGATATACATTAAAGAACCGATACTCATACAATATGTGGAAGTAGTATTAAGATTGAAAAGATAAAGATTATAGTAAAGAGTTGATATGGGGAAATAGAAATAAGATTAAAAAAAAAAAGAGTAAATTCCATCAGAGGTCCCTTGTCTTTAGTGACAATTTTAAATTTAGTTATAGACTATTGTTTTTGCCATTTAACATCCTAAACTATTATTTTTAGTCCGTTTTAGACATTCTCATGACTTTTTTTTTTTTTTTAGTAAAGACAGTTTTGTCTTTTCATATTTTTCTGTTGGTCCCGGTAGGATCGAAAGAGAGTCAAGAGGGAGGGAGGGAGGGAGGGGGTGAATAGACTCTAATCGATTTTTCAAAGAGTCTCCTTTCGGAGTGATGCACAGCGGAATAAAATGTTTCGTTTTAGGTTTCATTTCGGAGTGATGCACAGCGGGATAGTCTCGTTGTAATAAATTCCCTAGATCTAATGAAATAACTTTTCAGTGTGCTATCACGAACCTTATCTAACTCATGACCATCACGAAACTTTATTTGTTTCGTGATACTTCCGATAGTAAATCTTAATCTTTGCAAGTGATCTTTATTTGATTCATCTTTGAATAAAAACAGATACATCAATTCATTATGTTACTGGTTAGTCATCTAACACTTAAAATAGTTGGAGGTCTCTCATTGGATGAGGTGCCTGCTTTCTTGAAGTATTTCTCATAAATTGGAACATATCAAAAAATAGACTCTGTTGATGATCTCTCATCAGATGGAGTGCTTATGAGTTCGACTCTGTTTGATTGTTCCCTTATCTTTATGATCCTCTCATTTGCCAGCTTCCTTGCTTCTTGCTTCCAGATAAAGCTCCCTTCTAGTTTGTCTCTCAGAGAGTTCGTCCATCTTTTCCTTTCCCTTGCCCTGGTTCATTCCTGCAACTACAATTCAAACAAAAACTTAAAGAAATTGTTAGTGTGATTTTCATGTCATTGATCCATGCCCCCTTTTTATAGTAGGAAGACAAATCCTTTTACTGGTGTTGGGAAAAGAGAAAGTTATTCCTTTTCCCTTTCCAAGGCTTCATCGCCGGATATCAAGAGAATCCCTACATAGATAAGCATTCAGCGTGCATAAAGATGATACTCATGCCATGATCTTTCGACTAGGTCATCTCAATCATTCCTAGTTCATGTCGAACTGTAGAGAATCGTCCTTCACTCAAAGGTTTTGTTAAGATATCTGCCAATTGTTCATCAGTATTGATATCTTCAAGCGATATATCCTTCCTTTCAACATGGTCTCGGATGAAATGATATTTGATATCAATATGCTTAGTTCGAGAGTGTAACACGGGATTATAAGTGATAGCAATAGCACTCCTGTTATCACAATTTATACGCACTTCTCGTGCTATTACTCCATAATCTTTGAGTTGTTGCATCATCCAAAAAATTTGAGCACAACAACTTCCAGGTGCAATATACTCAGCCTCAGCTGTGCTTGTTGCTATGGAGTTTTGTTTCTTACTGAACCATGACACGAGTCTTCCCCCTAGGAACTGGCAGGTTCCAGAGGTACTCTTCTGGTCAATTCGACATCCAGTAAAATCAGCATCTGAGTAGCCAATTAGGTTGAAAGATCCTCCTTTCGGGTACCAAAGTCCAACACTTTGGGTTCCCTTAAGGTATCTTAAGATTTTTTTTTTTTTTTGCCGCACTCAGGTGGCTTTCTTTAGGTTTAGATTGAAAACGAGCACATACCCCAACAGCGAAAGAAATATCCGCTCTACTCGCTATTAGGTACAAAAGAGAACCTATAATTCCACGATACTTTGTTTGATCTACATCATCTCCTTCATTGTCAATTTCCATTCTTAATGATGTATGTTGGAGAATTCGCAAAAGGACAACAACGTCGTGCAGGATGTAGGCTGTTAGGCAGTGTGTTTTAATAGTAGAAAGGTTTCTGTGTCGTGTCTAAACACTACCTTAAAAGCATTTAACGAACAGGGCTATCGCTAGCTTTCGACCGGTAAGCACAGAAAAGATAACGCAGGCAACCTCTATTCACTGGGATTTCGCCATGTGTTTTACAGGGTTGGGGACGAGCGATTTATATACTGAAAGTAAAAACCGCTCGTCTTATCTCAGCCATGAAGAACCAACGAGAAAATTGGGAAGTGGGAAAGACCAACGCCAAGTGCGCGCACGTTCCTTTGTTCACAATGAAGTGCGGACAAGGTGATCTAAAACCCACAAAAATAGGGGTAGAAATGTGTAGTGGGGTGCAAAACGTTGACCACACCGCGACGCGCGTGTGAACCGAGCCGGGCAGCGGCAGCGGCGCGCTCGTGGTTTCCCCCTATTTCCCTCCATAACACTTCAAACCTTCTCAAAGGGATTGATGAATAAAAGGGGGTAAAAGGTGGGTTAGCTTGCCAATGTGGGACACATGAATAAGGACAAAAGTCACAAAAGGCACCCAAAAGCCTTTGCCTTGTAAATGTTTCCCAACAATCCCCCACAAATTTAAAGGGATAAAGGCTATACCCAAATTTACCTGAGCCAGTACAAGAGCTAACTTCCATGTCAGTGTACGGAACTTGAACTGTCATGAAGGCATCAAGTAACTTGTTCCCCGAGAGTGAATTGAATCTTGAACTCATCGGTTTATTGAGTTTGGAACTTGAACGCCCTTTATTAACTCTTTAAGAATCCCTGTATAGTCTAGCTCAATCTAGACATCAACTCTGTCAAGAGTATCTCAATATAGACCACCCATCACGGGTTACAGAGAAAGCACTGTTATTACAGTTTTCTTTAGTGTAAGTCTTTCCGTGATTTGACCCCGAAGTGGTATCCATCACGAATTTCTTACCTCATTGGGTTTCAGACCCATCTCCCTTGATGTATCAAGGACGGCCTTTCGGTTTAGGCCTTTTGTGAAAGGATCTGCAATATTCCTTTCAGACCTCACAAACTCCATTGTGATCACCCCATTTAATATAAGCTACCTTACAGACTCATGTCTGACTCTTATGTGTCTTCTTTTCCCATTATAGACATTATTCTGTGCTACACAGATGGCAGTTTGTGAATCACAATTCATAGGAACAGCGGGGGCTGGACACCCCCACAATGGCACGCCTGCCAGTAGGTTTCTCAGCCACTCGGCTTCCTGACTTGCCAGATCAAGCGCTATGAACTCGGCTTCCATAGTTGATCTAGCAATACATGATTGTTTTGTTGATTTCCAAGAGATAGCTGCTCCGCACATAGTGAACACGTATCCACTAGTCGAGCTTACATCTTGACTATCATTTACCCAGTTCGCATCACGAAACCCTTCTAGCACTGCTGGGTGTCCTTTGTAATTAAGACCCTAGTCCACGGTGCCTCTAAGATATCGCAATATCCTTCTTAACGCATCCCAATGCAGGGAGCTAGGGTTGTGAGTATAGCGACTGAGCTTATTCACTGCAAATGCGATATCAGGTCTAGTGTAATTCATCAAAAACATTAGACTTCCAATTATCTTTGCATACTCTTCTTGAGACACACTAGCGTCTACGTTTTTTAACAATTTGATACTTGGATCAAAAGGGGTTTTAGCCGGAGTCACCTCATAACTGTCAAACTTCTTTAGAAGTTTCTCTGTATAGTGGCTTTGTGACAACAAATAGCCACAATCAGTCTTTGTGACTTTTATTCCCAGTATTAAATCGGCTTCCCCTAAGTCCTTCATTTCAAATTTGACACATAGAGTCTTTTTAGTTTTATCTATAGCCTCAAGGTTTGAGATAAAAATCAACATGTCATCTACATAGAGACATATGATCACAATGCTAGACTCTATCTCTTTTGTGTACAAGCATGCATCTGATCGGTTAGTAGAATAACCCAGATCGTTTTATGAAATTTTTCATACCATTGTTTAGGGGCTTGTTTCAAGCCATATAGAGACCTCTTGAGTCTGCAT